ATCTAATAAACCAACCACCCATTCTAATGAATGAACATATGCTACGACATGTCTTTGACGTTTGGGTATCTATACTTGCATCTCTTGGAGTCCATTTAATCTAAATTTTATTTACCTTATTATAGTATAATTACTTAATATTGCAACACTTGTCCCTTAAGCAACTTTGTTTGTTTTCCTCTAAAGGAAAAAATTTCTTTCTTAGTAAAGTTATTGTAGATCTTGTGTTGTGTTTGGCGACATTCGTTTATTTACTCTTATAATGCACATTGCTATTTTTTATTAATTTGTTAATCACTTATCTAAATACATGTGGATTTATCCTATTTCCCAAAATTTTGAATGAACAAAGTTTTCACAACATGGGTCATTATAGTTGAACGTCAGTTTTACACTAAAACCAAATCGGTTTAAATTATAGGGTAGAGAATTTAAATTATATGGTAGAGAACTGCAAACATTGAGTTCATTTTCTAGCTAAATATGGACACTTTTTCCCATACTCTCATGAAAAAAATGGTATGCTTGAGCGTAAAGCGTACATGTCGTAGAGACCGCTTACACTTTCGTAGCATTTTGCTTTTAAACAAATAGTCTAACTCATAAATCACATTCCACCATTTGTTTCTTTCAGTTGTTTACCATTTTTGTGTCTCTTTAACCATTTTATATTTGTGATTCAATCTGTATGTGTTCCTTGGATGCAAACCTACACATCATGGTTATCCTTGTCTTGACCCTTAGACTTCTTACGTTTATATAACACAATATGCTCGTTTTGATGAGTCTACCTTCCCTTTAGCTACTCCTACTAGGATCTATACCATTTATAAGTCTCTTTTCCCCATACTTCCTATAAGCTTGAAAAATCCTTCCCATATATGTTGATCCCAAGACTTTATCCTCGACAAACCTATCGACACCAATCACCTATCTTGCTTTATATTGTTTTACTATTGACAATAGTACATCAAGTCATATTAAGCCCTTTTTAGAGTCTATCTCATCTAATAAGTGAGTCTCCATAAATCCTCCCCTACCTGGTTGCACTTAGTAAATGTCTCTATGCCTAAAATCCAACATAAAATACCATACTCAACTATTGCATGTCACGTCTCTCCTATCATTCCTACTAATGAACCAAACACGTTTTACGAGTACTAACAATTTTTTTGTTGCATAAGGCTATGAATGAGGAGTATAATGCTCTTGTAAAAATGATATTTAGCCTTTAGCTTCACGCTCCAATGATATGAATGTTTTCGGAAATAAATTCGCACATCATATCAAAAGAAACCAGGATGGGAATGTTACAAGATACAAGTCTCAAGTTGTGGCTAAAGGATTCTATATAGGTATGTAAATAAGCCGAGACGAGGTGAGCTTCATACTAATCGCGCCTGGCTTGTTTAAAGTTACTGAAGCTCGAGCTCATTAAGAGTTTGGAGACTCGAGCTCGTGAAATATATATGAAACTCGGGATCGGCTTGTTAAGGCTCATTAAGGCTTGTTTTCCCTAAATCTCGTTAAAAACCGGAATCGAATCGTTACTATTTCATATTTTATTAATATATAAGTAATAAATAATAATATCAGTGTTATAAAAATCCCGACTAGGTCCCGATTAATCCTTTGGTGTTACTTGACCAACTAGAGAGCGCTTGATGATTAATCCATGCATACACAATGAGTGAAATAGTAGACAATGATGAAATTTTAACACTTTGAATAAGTTTTATCTCAATAGAAACTACTTGATGTTTGATTAGTGTTGTATTAATCATAAAAACCTATTATGTTATGATATTAGTGGTATTTACGAACTTTGATATGATATTAATCATATAATTGTTTTAAAATTGAACAAATTCACAATTAATGGTCATCGATTATTCCCCACCTAACTGATTAATCCCTTAACCCCAGTCCACCGACTAGCTAATTTCGAGCGTTTTTCACAACCTTTAATAATATATAAAATAAATGTAGATTATACAAAAGCTTGTTTAAGCTCGCGATCTTAAAGAGACTGTAAGTGTAGGCTCAAGATCATGTTCGTATTTTAAATGAGCTTTATTCTAGGCTCTAGCTCAGGCTCATGCTTGTTAAGGTACAACTCGTTTCAAGCTTTTAACGATCCGATCTCGGGAAACTTGTGAGTAGCTCGGCTCGTTTACATCCTTAATTCTATTAACAACATGAAAATGACTATGATGAGACTGCCATTCCAAATGTTAAGCCTACCACTATTCAGTTCTATCTATATATGTGTCTTGTAGTTAGTATCTTCTTTAGCTAATTGTTCGAAAATTCATCTTGGATGGTGACTTAACCGATACCCTTTACATGGAACAACTCGTAGAAATTTTTGACAAATTTTGTATTGATCATCTTTACATTCTTTATTGCTCCCTTTAGGACCCAAATACGCTATAAGTGCTTAATTTTAATGCCTTTCATAAGATTTACTTTCCTTTGGTTCTATTGGCTCCAAAACTAACACTTTTTTTATTCATATATATGCCCATGGAAATGTGATCTTATACATGCTCGTCCATATTTATAACATTATCATCACCGACAATAATTTTATATACGGAAATTTCTCACATCATTATTTATTTTACCTATGAATTTTCATTGAAGGAATTAGGCCATTTGTTTTATTTTATGGGTATGAAAGTATATAAGGTCGACTCTAGTGTTTTACTCTTAAAAGACCATTTAATCTAGGGATGATTCCAAAAACCAGCTTGTGCTAAGACAATTCCATTACCATTGACATCATCTCCACCACTTTCATAGGAATCGGAAAAACCCTTTTTCTATCCAATTTGATACCACTAGGTTGCGGTGGAACTTTAACTTGCAACCTTGACTCGACATGATCTTGATTTTGTTGTCAATAAGGTTTATTAGTATATGCATCAAACTACAAATGTTCATTGGTCCGCTGTTAAATGTATTATCCACTATCTCCAAGGCATCATGTCTCATGGAGTACTCTTTCATTAGAGGCATTTTATCGGATTTACGTAGGCTACCAAGGAAGCCCATAGAAAACCTTGAGGCTTTTAAAAATTTTGATTAAACAGGTGTCCCAGATAACACACGTACCACTGGTGATTTTTCTATCTTTCATCGGTGCCAAATTAATATCATGGTCTTCTCATAAGCATAAAGATAGTCTATCGGTCCTCTACGAAATCATAGTATGAAGCTCAAGCTAACATTTATATTATTTCACTAAACTAGTTATAGCCTCTTCTTACCGAGCTTCATTTTCCTCGTCTAGCTCCTCCTCGTTTATGGTGCGATAATGTCGAAGTTACCTGCTTATCAACAAATCCAATGGTCCATGCTCTTAAAATGGATCAACTTGCATATAATTTCATTGATGTTAACTTCCATTTCGTTTGTGATAAAGTTATTAACAAAGAAGTAAAAAATCATTTTACTTGTAAAATGGATCAATTTGCATATACTTTCACTAAACCTCTTCCTACACCTCGATTTTTTCTTTCTAAGTACCAACCTTTAGGTTTCTCCCCACCCTTCACTTGTGGGGGTATATAAAACCTAGTATAGATGGGCTAAGTTGTATTGTATCCATGATCCGTAGGCTCTAGGATAAGGGTGAGCATTTGGACCGACCCGGACCGGACCGGACTGGACCGGCTCTTGGACCGGACCGGTTATGGAGAATTTTGTGGACCATGAACCGGACCGGATGAGTCGTGTCCGTGTCCGGGTCCAGGTCCGGGTTGTCCGGTTTTTGGACCCGTTTGGACCGGTACAACTTTAATTGCATAGAGTATATGTAATCTAAATTGATGTATAATATTATAACTTGCAAAATTAATAGGTTTCCGTTTCATGCTTAACTAATCTACATTGATGTATAATATTATAACTTGCAATTAAAAACAACTAACATATAAATCAAGTTCACCAACAAAAGTTAAACAATTTTAAGACAAACATATAAAAGTATTACCGTAACAACAAAAATCATAGTTTAAACTTTAAAATCAATCAAACTAACAAACTTCATACACTAATAATCTAATCTTCCACTGGCCTCTTCCTCATATCATTATCATCCATATTTTTTTCTCTATATAAACACATATGAAAATATTGTTAGTATTTAATAAAAAGTAATAATTGTATAAAAAAAGAATAAAGATTGTAATTTTTTTACCCAAAGCTATATCATCATCGTTCAAAATGTCATCAACGTGATCAACTATCGGATTTGTAGACTTTATCACCCAATATTGGGTGCATAACAAAACTTCAACTATCATTGTCGATAAACTAGTATGATACTCACTTACAACTCTACCACATGTGTTAAACGCGGACTCGGAATTATAGTATAAAATAATACTAAAAAGCTGAAATATTTCAGCTTTGATAGCTCTACTTTGAAGGATTGTAACTCGGTGAATAAAATACCAAAATAAATAAAATTATAGTCTAAATTCATCTACAAACTGTAAACTAAATGTTGAAAAAACCCGGAGTTCAATCCGACTTAAAACAAATGAGTTATGAGTGTTTAAAAAACGTCACAGATTACAAAATCTTGCTGAAAAACTGAATTTTTTCAGCTTTGATAGCTTTACTTTGAAGGATTGAAACTCAGTGAATATGATACCAAAATAAACAAAATTATAGTCTAAACTCATCTACAAACTGTAAACTAAATGTTGAAAAAGATCTCTGGTTAATCCGACTTAAAACGAATGAGTTATGGGTGTTTAAAAAATGTCACAGATTACAAACCCTTGCTGAAAAGCTGAATTTTTTTTAGCTTTGATAGCTCTACTTTGAAGGATTGTAACGCGGCGAATATAATACCAAAATAAACAAAATTATAGTCTAAATTCATCTACAAACTGTAAATTAAATGTTGGAAAAAACCGCATATTAATCCGACATAAAACGAATGAGTTATGAGTGTTTAAAAAACGTCACAAAAATCTTAATCATGTCCAACCGGTTCTAAACCCGGTAAAAACCGGACCGAACCGGGAAAAAACCGGACCGGACCGGAGAGAAATCTGAGAACTGAGAACCGGCCCGGGGGTCCAAAAACACGGTCCGGTCCGATCCGATCCACCGGTCCAAATGCTCACCCCTACTCTAGGATTTAGTGTAGTTATGTCTATATATACAAACAATTGTATCCTTTATATTCATTTCGATATAATCCACTAATACATATGAAGCAATTTACCAATTCTAATAATTAGTATTATCTGAAGACGAAAATTCCATTAAAAACTTGCTAGCAAAGTCAATCGATAAATTAATTTGTTATCTTTTAATGAATACATATAGATATAATTAAATCAACCCAACAACCAATAAAATTCAAACCATTAATTCAACTAACTTATCGAGTATAATCATAAAATTTTGGGGGAAATCTATTAGATTTACTTAATTGGGTGGGGGAATTGAATTTTATTAATATTTCTACAAAGTTCATCTTTGTTGTTGTCTCTCATATGTCTAATCTAGATCTTAATTTCACCAACAAATTGAAGAGGTTGAAGAAGACGATAATCTATAAGTTATTCTACATAGTGCTTTAAAAGCATTATAATGGCTGAATTTGTGCATTTTGTCTACAAGGTATTTTTCTATTAATAAATTTGGTCTTTCATCTTCTAAGTATATAAAAGGCTTATTTACTCTTTGAAACATTGATAATCAAGACTACTTATTATTGTTTTTGAATAAAGGTTGCCATTATAATTAGAAGTCGAAAAAAGCGCTTGCGGGTGCTAAAGTTGTTGGTGCTAATATGTGCTATTGTATACGTCATTTATATATATTCTACATATTTGAAGCGTATATGCATCGAGAAAAAGAGGGAATTTTTAGAGTTTCAAGTAATCAAGACGTTCCATTATAATAATGTCATTTACCAGTCTCCAATCGCTCATTTGCATCAGCCAAAACCCAAAACTTTCAACAGGTATAATATTTATATTTCTTTTCAAAACTACTATATATTTATATATATATATATATATATATATATATATATATATATATATATATATATATATATATATATATATATATATATATATATATATATATATATATATATATATATATATATATATATATATATATAAAAGCATTTTGTAGGTATACTAGAAAGCCTGTGCGATTATTTGTCATAATGTCCATGCAAAGATCAGGAAGTGGTTGGTTCGAATCTTTACTGAATAGTCATATGAATATAAGCTCCAATGGCGAGATTTTTGGTCAGAAAAAAAGGAGACAAAATCTTACCTCGATTATTAACACACTCGATAGAGTTTATAATATGGACTTGATTACTAGTTCTAGCAAGAATGATTGTTCTGCCGCGATTGGATTCAAATGGATGCTTAATCAGGTAAGACTAGAGTTTCATTGTTTTCATTAGATGTTGATGTCATCTGAATACAATCTTGATGGTGAAGGGTTTGATGGAACACCCTAAAGAGATTCTTGACTACTTTTCTAAAAGGGGCGTTTCAGTCATTTTCTTCTTGAGAAGAAATATTATGCGTCGATTAGTTTCTATACTTGCGAATTCATTCGATAAAGATGCAAGGGTTCTAAATGGCATTCATGTATCTCATGTACACTCGCATGGAGAGGTATAAAGAAATTTTATGTTTTTTAGTGAAAAATACTACTAGAAATCAAGTAGTAACTAGTGACAGACGTATCCATGGTAAATTTATTTTAGGACCTTAAAAATAAGTTAGCTTGTAAACTAACATATTGTAATTTTGCATTTAGTCTTAGTCGCAAATAGAATCTGTCACATCAATGGCTGATGCTTGAGGGGGCCTTCAGTAGACTAGAAAAAAAACGGAGTTTACTAATAAAAGTGAATAACATTTATATTTTTACTTACGATTAAATCTTTTACTTTTATTTTCAAATATATAATCGTTTATAGTCTTTCATTCTGTTGATATAAAAGCGAAGAATATAATTGAGCTTCTTTCAAATGTGAAATCTGTAACATATGGAGTTTTAATGAATGACAGAAATTTGACAACCAGACATACAAAAGAATGCAATATCAAATTCCAGTTTTATCAGATTTACCCTGAACCCACGAACCAAACAAGCCCATAGGCATGCCAAATACCTATATGTCATATTCATCATATGCATGCATGACATTGTTTGGATTTTTATCTGGCTCTTAGGCTTTGTTATTGTCGAGATTTAAACCCACAATCAATGTAACATCACTGAAATCGGATTTGGGAAAGATAGAATCAACAGTCATGAAGGCGCTTGAGTACTTCAATTGCACGAGGCACATCATAGTGTATTATGAAGATCTAATCAAGAACCCTTATGTATGTAAATACTTGTTTTAGCTCTAATTTTTTCATGCCCTAATCAAACTCATTTTGTGTCATTTGTATGATTGTTCTAGAAACTTACACAAGTGGAAGACTTTTTGAAGCTACCACGAATGAAATTAAGTAGTCGACAAGTGAAGATACATAAAGGACCATTGTCGGGACACATCAACAACTGGAAAGATGTCAACAATACTCTCTTTGGAACAACTTACGAGAGATATCTTAAATCGGACTATTGATTGATGCCCAACCATGAAACATTGGTCTTTTAAGTAGTTCTTGACATTGTGTGTGGGATGGGGGTATTATATCCTAGTTAGTAGCTCACCAACTGTGTTGTTGCTGCAATAGAATAAATATGTATGTTTGGAAATGAAAATGCCAGAGTACAGTTAGGTTTAGCACTTCCTTAGATCGACCCGTCACGTTTTTGTTATTTTTCCCTTTTTCTGTCATCATCGAGAAATGTTATCCCTGATTTCTCATCTATTTTTAAATAAAAGGTATTAGAAATATAATATATTCATAAACAAATTCAACATTATAAAGAACATCATTTCTTCATTAATTAATTAGATAAAATATATATATATATATATATATATATATATATATATATATATATATATATATATATATATATATATATATATAATATAATATAATATAATTTGTGCTTTAACCATTATAGTTGTATCAAGTTCTTCTTTAGAAAAAAAAAATGATGAATGTTTTTGCATCAATAATTTCATCTATTTGAGTATTTGACCAAATGTTTTTTGTGATTTTTTTTTCCTCCATGTGACTTTTAGCTAATTTTTATTTTTTCAAACTCCATAGGTACCTCAAAATTCGAATTATATTTTTCGTATTTAATGGCCATCTTTGGTAATTGTTCACGTTTTCGATCCTGATGCACTAGAAAAAGATAATTTCTTTTTTGCTTTATCTCAACCTTTAAAAAAAATTATCATTTAATGGTACACAAAAAACGTCACTAAACCCCCAAAAATCTAACTAAAGGCTTTTTAGATAATCATCGACACACATAATAAATGTCACTAAAATTACTCTTACTAAAACCTTTTGATGACACTTTTTGCTTTTACTGCTATAGTTTTTTAGGTTTTTTGTGACACTTTTTCATTTGTCACGGTAGAATAAAAGGTTTTTGTGGCACATATTTTGTGCCATTAAAAGGTCATGTGATTCAAGAATTTATGCTACTATTAGTTACATATTTTAAAATTTTACTAACACATTTTTATTTGCCACAATACAATACAATAATATATATATATATATATATATATATATATATATATACACACACACATAACTTTTATCTATAATATAAAATAAAATTACTAATTAGGTTGTAACACGTAGAAAATAATATTTAATCTATTGCTTTTCATCAAAATTTTATATTTTCTAATGTTTTGAAACAAATATCAAGTAAATGTCAAATACGGCTAAACATTTGAAAAATCATCTAAAGATCCTTGGATACTTAAGGAGTCGCTTGCAATGGCTTATAGGAACCTGTATAATAGCAACATATGAAAAAACATGACAATTGTTTGTCTCATTTTCAAAGTAATAGTAACATACTTTGAAAATAGGTAGTTCTACTTTCAAAGAATAGCAACCTACTTTCAAAGTATGTTATTATTTATTTAAAAATGTGATAGAAAACATGTGAGCCCCATTGCTTTCGTCCCATTTTCAAAGTAATATCCACATACTTTGAAAGTAGGTTGCTATAATTAGAAAATATGGCAACCTACTTTCAAAGTATGTTGCTATTAATTTGAACGTGGGACAAAAAACATGGTTTAAAGCAACACAAAGATTAATTACTTGAACTTATTAAATACAAAATAAGACCATAAGATAAGTCAAAGTAGAAGAATATAGTATTACCTTTTCATGAGTAAGTCAAGCAAATGATTTTGTCCCAGAAACATGGGCTTCATTTGTCTTCTATTTGTCTTCTTTTTGTAATTTATCCAAAAAGAAATAGTTACCAACTTCTAGTGGAATGAAGATATATAAATTAGTTTAGATGACATCTCAAATGTCATATAGCGCATGAAATTAAGAAATCGTATAATAAAAAAATCCACCTTTAATCCATCAATGAGGCGACCTAGCATTCTTCGAATGTATGTTCTCATATAGCCTCTAATGTCAACTTCATCTTTTACCCCACCAAGATATATTCGTATGAAATTTCTACCAAAAGAAAAAAATATATCTTTACAAATTACCATTTATGGTCCCTCTTTGAGAATTACATTTTCTAAAGTGGTTGTTAATCTCATTGAAAACTACTCTTATTAGAAAGGAAACTGACACTCCAGTAACGATTAAGAGCTACAAAGTAGATGGAAATAATTAAAAAAAAAACATCCCAAGGTTTTATATACTAACTTTTATTGTGTTATATAGTGTATATATGTGTGATATTATCATAATATAGATGAAATTTTGGTCACTCTGTTCTAAAGACTCGATGAACTCTCTAAGTAAAATGGTGACTACTTGAGCAAAGTAAGATGCTAACCACCCTCCTATGTTGAAAGCACTTGAAAATTATTCAAAAGATTTAATTGTTTGAAATCGTAAAAAGATAGAAGGTTCTTAAAATGAGAAGGGTGAAAATTAACTTGTCCTTTTCGACCAAAGAAACTACCATTGGCCCACTTGCAACGACACCAATCACTGCATCAAATGTCAAGGACCCAAATAAAGAATACTACAATGACAATAAAAAGATATAAATAGACTTTATATATATATATATATATATATATATATATATATATATATATATATATATATATATATATATATATATATATATTTCAAAATGTATTTTCTTTATATTTATATTGCTTGATAATCGTGCTTCAAAAAGATTATAATACACTTGGGCTAAATGTTGATCAAACTAACAGGTGTCATTGTTAGATTTTTTAAGGTTTTCTATGCATCATATACACTTTAAACTAGGTAACAAAAACAATCAAACTATGATATACCTAAGTGTACATGCAACCTATGGATTCATGGCTTCATACTAATTATAGCTACCCTAGGAAAACATAAATACAAACGAAGAATCATATACCTCTCTTTCCGCCAAAGACCTTCCCGCTTAAGATTTCGTAAGTGCCACCTTGTTTGGATGAAAATGACTCAAACCAGAACCCCTCTCTTGGTTCATACCCAATGAACTCAAGAGATCATAATAAAAATATAACTAGGAGGGGTCAAACTCTAAAAGAGTTCGTCCATAAGAATGGAGAAAAAAGAGGCAAAACTTCAAGGCAAGAATAACCAAGGAAGAATGAATCCTTAAGGCCCTATTTATAGACTTAGATATCTTCCAAGGATTTATCATTCCATCCATGTGGGATGTGATAACCCTAGAACGAAATTACCACCTTCACAAGGGAATATTTGTCCACCTCCTTCTGCCATCCGGTTCTGGAATATTCATGATCAATCAACTATTGATTAATTGATATTAAACCCTTCAATTAACTAAATTGTTAATTAATTCCTGAAATATCTTTCAATTAGTTTCTAATTAAATATTAAATCATAATAATTAATAAACCAATATTTCCTTTATTGATTCTACTTAATTTGAATCTCGAGGGAAACTCAAGAGGACCATGTTATTGTTAGAAATATCGCTAATAGTTACTGACCTTGGACATACTTTCCAATAGTCTCCCACTTGGATTAGTCATCAACTATATATGGTTCAATACTTCTCTAATAATCAACCGAGAGAATGCCATCTAATGCATGTGCCGAACTCTGATATAATCGGTTTAAAACCTCAGAAAAGAGAGTAGATATTCCTTCGTTCTCATGATATTTGTATGTATCTGAGACATGGATAATGGTCAATATCATAATTCAAATTTATGTTTCTCCATAAAGACTTGTAACGAATGCATTTAACTACTAAATTAAACACATCAATTTTAGTTAGAACCTGTCTAGGTATTCATGATGTCAACACAAAATAATCAATGGACCCATATATATCACTTTTCCTATTAATACAAAAGGAGTAAATAAACTTTGACTACATAGTTTTTTTCTATTTCATCATATCATATATGGTCATACCCTTTATTGCTACCAGTTATGGATAATGTTGGATCACACCAATACATAACAAATAATAGAGCAAAACCCCATATATATCTTTGTATAATAATAAAAGATATTATCATTATAAAATTACTCGTGATTGTATCCATGAAGTAATCTTTAAGTGCGGGTCCTTCCACTACTTAATCTCTATTAATAACTCATGAGTGTTAGCGCAATCACTATGCTATGCCCAATCAATATGGTTAATCCACCAATACTCATGAGAGTCTTAAATCACTACTTACTTCCAAGAGTATGACCGAATGTGGAGGTTTGAGTAAATTAATACTCAGGAAGTGGGTTTTAGCCATGCAAAAGGGAAACAAAAAAAAATTAGCATATATGATGACATCAATAGCACTTTATTATGTCTCCGAAAAAATAAACATCAAATTAGTTACATTTCATATTGTTTAAATGTATCAAGAAATTATTAAACTAACAACTAGATAATTACAACATATCATCAACAAATCTATTGCCTACAAATCTAGTATAACTATCATGCTTGATCATTGATAATGGCTTTGTGAACGTATGAATTAGATTATCCTCTGATGATTCTCTGTTCACAATAATGTCTCCATCCTCAACTTGCTTTCTCATATAGTGGTATTTTCTGAGTATATGTCTTAAGTTACCATGGTCCTTAGGCTCTTTAGTCATTGAAACTGTCCCTTCGTCGTCACATAAGATATTCAAAGGATCCTTAATGATCAGAATGACACTAAGATCATCAATAAAATTCTTCAACCATGTAGGTTCTACCAGTACAAAACTGGGCTTTAGACATGACCAAAACTCGTCATTATGGACATTTTATGTCATGTTTATTTTAATTCAATATGTACGGAAAGGTCACTTCATTGATGATAAATTATGCTATCATTTAGTTATGGTGAGTATAACCAATGAAAACCCATTATTATAGGTCAAACCCTTCATTATATGGTAGGGTGTTTTTGAACATGCATATATATCATATATGGTAGGGTGATAAACGTTTACTTATAGTCACCGTTTATAGATATTATTGTGGCCATTGGTGACTTTTTGAGACACAAATGTAATTAAGCTATCAACATAAGTTATCTTTACTTACATGTTTAATGCTTTCTCATTAATATTGTTTACACACATCGAAATAAATAATTTAATCGATCATAAAAATATGATTTATACTCACGTCTTATTTATTTTATTATGATTATAGATAACTTTTAGTGACATGTTTAATATTATATTGTGAACATTGTGTATATTTACTCACTAACAATCAATTAAAAAGTGACCATAAAATACTTATAGTGATGTGTTTTTTCATAAAGAGTGATAAATATTTTAGTCACCGTTTAT